GCTTCCTCCTTTTTTTTTCTTTTTTTATGTCTTTTGTGGGCATTTTAGCTAGCGCGTTGGTCAGACGCTCGATTGCGGCGATGAAGAGGGATGGTGTGGACGAGGTGGGTACTTGCCTTTTGTTTCTGTGGTCGTTGCATCTGCTTTGCGTTCACCGCGTGGTGCAGGCGTGGCACGGTGCCTTCCTCGTACGATCTGTGCTGACTTATCTTACTTTTTTCTGCTTTTGCCTTCCGTCTCCGTCCCGCTGTCCTATCTGTGCCCCTCTATCTCCGCACAATCCCGTCCTATCTATCTTCCCTGCACGCATACACCCACAGATCGTGCTCGAAACCGAATACGACAACTTCGCCGCCCTCTCTTTGTACGAATCGCTCGGCTTCATCCGTGAGAAGCGACTATACCGATTCTACCTCAACGGCAAGGACGCATTCCGCCTCGTCCTCGCCGTGGCGCCTCCCTCTGACGAGGATGAGGATTCTGTGGATGGTGACGACCATGAGGAGACGCGCGGCCGGATGAGCATGAAGAGGCACCATCGGCTCGCGCATCGCGCGATACGGGTCTCGGATTATACTGATGAGGAGGATGCGGCGTCGGAGCGTTAGATTGGGTTGGTTGTACCAGTTGTGCTGGTTGGTCGAGCCGTGTGTTGACTGTGTTGCCCGCGGCCGTTCTTGGCAGGCTTTGAATCATGCCTGGGCCAAGGTTGTATATCCCGCCTCTCTTGATCCCTTTGCTGTTGTACCGAATTACCTTTGATTCTCGATACGCTGCAGTTTCCTTCTCTGTCGCCTTTACCATATCCCGTCACCCATTCTTCGTAGCCTAGTTTGTACTGCTGTGTATGTTCCTCGTCTCCTCTGGTCCCCCTTGTTGTCTATCACTACATACCACCACTCAAATGCATAATGCCGTATTTATTGACTTCCTTTCAGGTTTCAAGTGCATTTTAGAAGAGGAAAGTGGATCATGAATATCTGAATGGTGCACCAATGACGGTCATGTCGAGCCGCGTCTTGACCACAACCATCATGATCACAGAAGATACCTCCCATTCCTTGAGACTCCTCAGTTGGAGGTCCATCGATGAACGAGAATTCTATCAGACTCAGCCCGGCTCAAGAAAAAGCGCTCGCACCGCGAACTTCGCGGCATGTGAAGCTTTTGCAACCGCTGCTTAGACACTAAGCCAGTTGGTCGCAATTCACCACCAGCTACTCAAGGGAGTCATAGGGATATCGCGACAGGCACGCTCAAGCTGAAGAGACCACTCGCTAGGTAGGACTGGCATCGCACCCATTGTGCGCAAGTGTCTCGGGTGGAGGCCGCGTTGGAGACAAACTATGGAGAATTTAAAAAGTTGAGTATATTTTTGATATTAGTACGTATATGTTATGAAAGTGGAATGTAGAATGGCCACACTGGAAAGCACCTTCGCTGTGTAGAGCGGGTATATGTATTACGTAGAAGTCCACCGTGACAAATACGTTAAGACCTGGGATCGCATAAGTGATGGGCCATGAATTATAAGAAGACGAGGAAAGAGGAAAATTGGCCAGAAGGGAGGGGAGACGACGTGATGATAGTCTCGCAAATCCGCCACATGCTTTCAAAAAATACCTGAATGGGGGAATGATTTCCTACACAAGGAAGCGATGATCAGTCATTGTCAATGGCGTCTGAACAAAAAAAAATTGGGAGTCGAATCACTTCAAGCCCAATGAAACGGAATCTTGCCGGACTCACAATGTGCGGCACAAACTCGGCCTTCTCCTTTAATCCCTTTATTTGTGTGTGTCGAAGGCGGATCTTTGTCCTTGCGCGGTCCAGACGACGGCGGACGCCATCGGCTGGGTCCTCCCAAAAAACCGGGTGTATGCTGGCCTCTTCAAGTTCAAGGGCACATACGATGTAGGCTGATTAATCACAGCGCATAAAGATATGAAATCTGTCCATGACATTCGTGCATCGTCGTACAGGTGACAAGGCCGGCCGTGCAAGAAAAAAAGACCGGCATAATCGTGAATAGCGTGTATCAGAAAGAAAGCAAGTTGACAGATGACGAACAACTTTTCAGCCTCTTCGAGGTATCTGCAACATGCCTCGATTCATCGAGGCCAGACTCGGAGTTGCGAAGCCTTATCATAGGCATTCATCATATAGGGTGACAAAAGGCCCGACAGCATGAACGAACGTCTTCAAAGGAAAAATAGATCACATTACGAGGGGGAAGAGGAGCACTGTACATGATGACCGGGAGCTCGCGATAGCAGGCAAATGGGCCATCAAGGAGGTGAAGGGCCTCCATGTTCAAGCACAAGGACAAGCCAATAGGGTTTGTTGCAGGTGACGCCGCAGCAAGCAAGCAGGATGGATAGGGAATGGAGGCGAAAGGTGATGTAACTCCGAGTCGGAATGGTGTGCACGTCGGAGGACTGAAGAGGTAGGATTTTCGGGTCGAGTATTCGCGATAGGTGGTGTATCACGCGTCGCGACGCGACGGGCAGAATGAGACCTAGAAAAATCAGCTCCTGGGCGGATTCAGAGCAAGAGAATCTAACTTGTGAAATGGCACGCCACGAGTACGGCGTACGGTCTTGAGAGGTCGTCGTTGTCAAGCCGTGCGGGAGACGAGACCAGAAAAGCACTGCCGCTTCACATCACAAGACATCAGACCGCTTCTTTCACGCTCGCGGCCTTCGCCTCTTATGCAATCGCCTCATTGAAGAGAACGTCCAACTAGCAGCATGGACACCTGTGAGGTAGGGGTCTCAATAAGAGGAGGGAGAAAGGGGAGGGAACGAGGGACGTACAAGGAAGGAGCCGGGAGTATAGGCATGGCCGTCGTGGGCCCCTGACCTCACGTTGATCGCGGAGAGCGCATATTCGACAAGGGCGGGAAGCTCGAGGTCCACGAGTGGGCGAGGCAGGCGATGAAGAGGACGAGACGGTCAAATGGGCTAGAATTCGTCGACTTTGACTCAAAAAACGGGCCGACCGGAGATAGCAGCTTTGATTTCTTTCTCCTCTCTCCTTGCTCGTCCATGCATGGCGGTGATAAAGAGGGATGGTCCAATAGGGCCGGGTGCAGGGAGGGAAGGAGAGGATCCGTTGAGGGGGCAGAGACAGAGTGAGGGAGACGAGATGAGGGAGTGAGGCGAGGTGCATGAAGGAGTGGAGAAGAGAAGGGAGGATGGGAGAGGAGGACGTCGACGGACTCATGAGCAACAAGGACGGTCATGTTGTTGAACAGTGGGAGGAGAAGTCGGCTGGGGGAATGCAGCAATGACACCGGTGGCTCATCGCAGCTGCATCATTTCTTCTAACCACCATAGAGACGAGCGTGCAGACATTCATATTATAAGACGGGCGGGCGTAGAATCTAGATATAGATGTGGCTGGAGCGGTGGCGGTAGAGGGGCAGAAGGACGTGCTGCAGTTCCATGCGGAGGAAGGGCCAGTGGGCCCGTCGGCGCCATGCCCGCTTTACATCTTGCGGCCATCTGCAAGCTCGATGGACCCGTCGCCGTGGTTTGTGGCGACGACGGACGCGACTACTGTGCTGTTCGTGATTCATCGGGGGTGGAGCAGCATGTTGGCGATCGCACGAGGGCTGTTGGCGCTGGGTATACCATTCCGGACGGTTGTGGAGAGACCGAACGACGAGCTGGTGTCTGTTGCGCGGAAGAAATCACGAAGTGGGCTAGGAAGTAGGCCAGCAGGATATCAAGGCACGGGAGAGGACTACGCGGCGTACAAGATTGCGCAAGATGGGGTGCTGAAATCGAGCCACGGAAGGGTTATTCGTATGAGAGGGGGAATAGCAGGACGGCTTGCGGCAGAGGTTGTGGGGGAGACGGAGGTGTTGAATGGGCCGAGCGTGGGGGATGAGTTGGTGGGGATGGGGGGGAAGGGAGAGAAGTTTGTGGACGATCTTGTGCCGGAACGAGTGCTGGACGTTGTGTGTGGCGTGTACAGCGTGGAGGGGGAGAAGGGGATGACGTACGCGTCATGGTGGCCAACGCAAGGGCACTGGAGGAGCATGGGGTACGACGGAGACCATTGGACGGTGGACGCAGAAAAGTTTTACAGGAAACGCTTGGAGGAGTTGGAAAAAGGGAAGGGAGGGACGAATGGGTACGGAAGGTGGAAGAGCCAGATCAAGCGATACCACGGGCCGCTGTCGATGGTGCTTATGGGAAGCGACGACTGGAAGCGCAAACAAAGTAAATCTTGCGCGCATGCGGGGTGTCAGGTTTTTCGTCGCCGAGGGATTTTTTTGTGAAAAGTATATAGTTGTCGTTTGCGGTATAGGCAGGTGTCCCGAAAATGTATATAATAAGGACAGGACAATGTAGAAGTTTAAGAGTCGCATGGCAGAGTGAGGATGGGAGTGTAGCGTGGTGAAGGAGCTATGATGCAAAAAGATATGGAGTACAAGATTGGGACAGATGGATCTGTTCGACTGGGAGTAAGTATGCACAGACGGCGGAGCGGTTGCATATTGAATTTGAACACAAGTATCAGCTCGAAGTAGAGTCATGCATTATTTAATAGTACATCTTTGGAGTCAAAAACTGCGCTCGGAGGTGACAGAAAGGAACAATATCGTACAAGAGTCCAAGTGCAGAGAAGCCAGCGTTACCGTACATTTGAATCTCGATCGCATTCCTCCTCATCAAGGCCCCCCACACAAGGCCCTCCCCTAGCCTGGCTATTAAACACCTCCTCGCCCAAACTTCCTCTTCCTCACATACGCCTCCTCCGTCTCCTCCCCCGGCCCAAGCGGCATCCCCATTGCCTTCATCACAATATACTCGCACCGCAGCTCCTCGTCCGTATACCCATCCCACGCACCCAAAAGCGTCTCGCTGAACTCCCTTGTCGCGCGCATCACCGCCCGCAGCGCCTCAAGCGGCGTCAGTGCGTCCCTATTCCCCGCGTCCTTCAGATCCTCCGCTATCCCACTCGGGTCGAGCGCGAGCAGCGCGCGCAGGGTGTGCACATTCTCGCTCGCAGTGGCGACATGCACGGGCGTCAACCCGCTATCGTTGTGCTTCCGGATGCTGCCCGCATCTGTACCGTATGCGGCCCGGATGACCTGGGTGATGGAGGGCGTTTTGTTTGAGGCGATCGCGCAGTGGAGGGGGTAGAGCGCTTTCGCTTCGTCTGCGCTGAGTGCAGCAGCGCCGGGGTTGATGGTGTCGAACTCTGTGGAGGGCGTTTCGGGGTCGGACGCTGCGTCGAGTCTGCGTGAGGGGTGGGATGGGTCGGGGGAGTAGGCAAGGAAGGACGTGCGCCCGACACGCCGGAAGCCGTTCTAAATTTGAGGTAAAGGAGGTAAGTGGAACTGAGAAAAGCACTGAGACAACAAGAAGAACTTATGCTCACCTTGCGATAGAAGGCGGTGATGGCAGCCTGCTGTCTTGCCCATTCCGCCTTGTCGTCGCCCCTGTACCCAATCGGCGTCGGCCAACAGAACGCATGTCCCTTGCCTTTGTTCCCCATCCGCGGCGAGGCCAAAAGCTTCTGGAGGAGATACGACCCGGCGCCGCGTCTCCTAAACTAGAAAGTGAAACCCACGAAACGGTCAACCTTCCTTGTCTGTCATGCAAAGGAGAACCAAAGCGAACACACGTACCTGCTCCTTCACGTTCAGATCCTCGATATACAACATATCCCCGCTGCTCAGCTCCGCGCCCCAACACCCCGAACCGCTCCTCGCGCCGCCTCCTTCCACAAGCCACGGGCGCACGTTACTGTTCCTATCAAACAGGGTGACCGAGAACTCGTGCAGCTCCTGGCTGTCTTCGTCCATGATCTCGAGGAAGTCGCCCACGCGCGTGAACCACGTCCGGCCGGACGCGGGGATCTGGAGGCAGCGTACAGTCGCAAGCTCGCCCAGAGCAGGGTGCTTCAGCGTACCGGTGACGTACTGCATTCTGTCGGGGTGCTCGTCGTGCTTTGTGGTGTGAAACGCGGCGGTGCATTCGGAAAGATTGAGGCTTGTGGACATTTCTTGGAAGTTGGGTGGTAAGAGAGGGAGTGGAATGGGTCTGGCATCGTTCGTTTTAAGTACGTCGAGACTCACATATGTCTCGGCTCAAGTCTTTGTTCAGGCAGGCGGCCCGGGACTCTAGTTATGTAATCTATCCAGCCTTCACCGCCGCCTCGTTTCTTGCCAAGATGTCCGTATGTAACCTTAAAGTTGTGCCACTGGTTCTCCCATCGCGCCTCGCCTTCTATTCGGGTTTGGAAGCCTAATCTCCTGCACGACATCCGCCCATCCCGTACCACCGCACGGCTGTTGCCGAAACCCGAAAAGCTGTGAGCTTCAGCTTGAGCGCTTATTCTAAATTGATTCTCAATCACAAATAACAATCACCGCCAACCACATCTCCGAAGTCCAAAAGCCTTCAATTTCAATCGCACAACTCCGTCTAGAGTACAACCGCGTTGCACCGATATCCTTCGATGATGAAACCCATACGCGCCGGGCTCGCAACTTGAACCTGCGTCCAACCTTACCATCTGGTGGTGTGCGCGTGTGGCGAGTGGATTTCGTGAACCATCCCATGTAGTTCACGTCAGAATCGAAAGTTTGAGCCAGCACACTTCCATAATACCGACCACGACTTGGAGGCCTTCTTAGGGTTCATCATACGTACACCCCGTGCAAGGAACCCAGGCATGATCCATATAGAATACTTAACTACAACTAAGGACGTGAAACGGAAGATAACTTGAACCGCGAGTACGGCTCGGGAGTCAGGCTCGGGCCCGGGCAGACGCTTGACATCAGTTGAATACCGGCACAAAAAGAAACACTGAAACCGACTCACCACACCCTCCGGAGCTTCACAGGTAGGAAAACAGCACCAATGAACGAACACGAAAGCGAAAGTGAAGAACTACTTACGCCAAGCCAACTAAAAGTGACGGGCGCTTAGCGCTTAGCTCTCATAAGTAGAGTCGTCACTTGGCTAATCCGTATCCCATCCCCATCCCCGACCCCGAGAGCATGTACATGGAAAACTGCGTTCCAGAACAAGAAATGATACGTTGCGATTGCACGCACCTCAGGGCTCGGGCCTCAGCGCTCAGTGTCGAAACACTGAACAGAACTTCTCAGATCGGGCTGCAGGAATACCTTCGCATTGTAAACATAGGGCGCCCTCGATGCTGCGGATCGCCTCTTGTTTCCATTTTGGTGCATAAAACTAATCAGAATTAATCTAGAGTAGCACGATGCGCGATGCGGTGAAAGGAAGGAATGGATGGATGGATGCACTAGGCACGGCACACCGGGCGTTGAACTTGGAGCAACGCCGACTTGACACCTGAAGCACGCCCGATGCCCACACTGAATTCGAATGTGCAAACGCCAGTGGCATTCAGCGTTCGGGGTCAGGTCTGAGGGAGGTAGGAGAAAGGAGAGTAGAGGGGAAAGAAGAGAGAGAAGGGTGATAGAATGGGATGGGAAGGGATGGGAAGGATGCGCTTCAGAAACTCCTCTGCATCTTTCTGCACGAACGTCCCGAACCCCCTCCGAGTCTGGTACGTCGACGCATGTCTCCCTCGTCCTGCGGCCGAAGCCGGCCTGGGTGGGGTTGGCATTGGCATCGTATGTGTAGTCGTTGCCCCATCCCTCTCATTATCAATGTCGAATGCATTCGAAGAAAGAAAGAAAAAAGGGAATTGGAGATGAGGCCTGAGGCCTGAGGCCGAGCTGGTAAGTAGTACTCGCACGCTCAGAGAATGGGCCGGAGGGAGGGACGGCAGGGAGAATTCGAGGAAGGGGAGGGAAGGAAGGATGCGAGAGATGTGTAGAGAAGAGAAGGGGGTACTCGCGTGCTTGGGCGCGGCTGCCCGCTACGTTTTCACTGGAGCTGGCCCTGGGTTGGCATCGGAGAGCGTGTATCCAGCGGGGAAGAGAGGTCGATTAGTCAGTCGGAGGAGGGCAGGATAGTGCAGTCACTGCAGTGGAGAGATAGATTTCGATCGGAGCGGCGTTCTTGGGCGGGATAGTGTCAGCGTCGACGTAATCAAAGTGTCTGTGGTGGTGAATGGTATACCTGTCAGCGCAACGCGGAGCCTGCGGCCCGTGCAAATTGTCCGTCTCGAAGCGTGCAGGGCGTGCGAGAGATTTTTCCCATTCAGAGCATTAGAGTGATGCTCTTGAGACTGTCTGTGCAGTCGTGAAGGTGATTTTGAGGGAGACACAAGCTCCCCTTCTTTTCTATTTTTATTTGTTTTCATTCTTTTTACACCCAGTACAATAATCGGAAAACCACTCAGTAGCCACTACTCCTCGAGGAAATGAAGGCACAGGGAGGGCAGGTCCGTGCTCGTCCCAGTCCGCACCGCGCTCAAAATTTGAGCGCCGTCGTCAAAGGTGTGTACTTCATTCATTCTACATAATGGATTCTGCATATTCTGACGTGTTTCATGGCTGCCTTTCATTTCTATGCGCCCGTGCCCGATTTTTGAGGTGAGTCTGTTATCCGATCGACATACGACGATGTGCAGGCTAATCACTAAGTATTCCGGAATTTTTTGTACCCCGAATGGCCACTACGACGCCATCGCAGCACCCTTTCACCATCAGCCGTCTGTCAGTCTCACTCTTCGGCCCAAATATTGTTAGTTGGTACAAGAGGAGACGACTCGGCTAGATCTTATTTCACCATATTTCGCAGCATGGGTTCCCCACTGGGAATGTGCACTTAAGCTTAAGCGCTTGTTGCTTACGGTCTGGCTTGGCAGATATATCTCCGCTTTCGTGTCACGGTCCTTGGCACTGTTCCGCCGGGCCTACCTGTGAAGCTCCGGAGCCGGGAGGTGTGGCTCTCGGAGCGACTGAGGCGGGGAGTCGGCAGTCGGCAGTGGCTCGGTGGGTTTCTTTTTCTTTTCTGTTCTTTCCTTTTGGATTCCTTTCTTTCAGCTTTTCTTTCAAACCTGAGGGGCCGGTGGCCAAGGCGACTATTTACTCTCGAATTTTGACCTGCTATTTATACTCGTGTTACAATCTGGACCACATCTAGGCATCCTATACTGCGTGTACTATGAATTTCAAGGTTTGGTGTTAAGGCCTCGCAGCCAGGAGGACCGCTGCGCTATGTAAAATACAATGCTGACCCAAACTCGGACATGGATGGAATTCATTCGTTTGCCATACCCATACCACCCCCACCCACACTCGTACGCGCATTCGCCCTCGCAGGTCAATTTAGTGTCAGATTTCCTCACCTCCCCAACAGCTGCTGAGAAGCGGGTTCTCATACGTCTATGCGGAATACGGTCCTTTTATTTAAGCCTGCACCGGGTACCTTAGATTTCGTTCAAGCCCGGTTTAAATTACTCTGGTGTTCAATCGGTCGGTTTCATGTGAGGACTATTTCAATAACCTCTTACTGCAATCTGTCTCATCGTCAAACCGTATCGTCCTCATGTTCCTATTCTCTTTCCCGTTACCGCTCTCTATGATCCAAGTGTCGATTTAGAAGAAACTCTCTACTACCACCGAGCCCAGCCATCGACTAACGACACTATAACTCTGTATCATGGAACCGACGGTGGGGTTGGAACAACTCTCCAAACCAAACCTCTTTTGTTACAATGCGCACGCCGCACAGACTTCGTCCGCGGTATAAACAAGGGCACCTATTTCACCGCAACAAAGGACATGGGGAGGTCATTTGCGATAGACCGGGCGATGTTCAACAAGGTCTCAGCAAGTAATCCGGCCCTCGTGACCACCCAATTAAACCTCAAAGACATCAAAATCTTTTCTTTCAATAGTGTGGATGAATGGGAAAAGGTGAGATACACAATGTGCTCGAGCATTTAGTTGTTTGCGATTACGGAAGCTGACATGAAGATTCCTCTCACACAGTTCGTTATTTACAACCGTGCTGAAGAGCCCGCGCCATTGGAATTCAATCCCACGGACCCTGAGCATGGATACGATGTGATCGCCGGGTGGATTAGTACAGGAAGTGGGTACTCATTGCTTTTCTCTACGCTTCGCCAGCTTAATGAATTTCCAGGAAGCGACGCGCCAAAGCCCTTAGGCTACAAGAGAAGTCAGGACCACCCTCCCGAGTTCTTCTGGCAATACTCACTTATTTCCGAGAAAGCCATCGCTGCGGCAAATGCATCTAAGACTGTAGAATTCTTGGACCTTTCCTAGACCTTTCCCGTATCTTAAACACTTGATTTTGGTGTCAGCTCTGGGGGTTGGTTTATCATAGTAGAATATTTGACTAGTACTTCTGTCACATTATTCCAGCACCCGTATTCTTTAACAGCATCGATATAGATACATACATACTACACTTGGTTGGGCGCGAATGCCCCCGAGCTCACTGAGACATGTTTGAGGGGGCCATAGCCATTGAGCGACGCTGGGTGATTAGCCGCACACCCTCCTGACCACGTAAACCCCCATTCTCGACCCCACAGACATGCTCACCCCACGCCTCGACTACAGCTCAATCACACTATCTGTGCCATTCATCTGGTCACTATATGTCCCGGGGTTCTCCTCAGCGCCCGTTGACTCCTCCCCAACTTCCCACCTTCAGCACGGTGGTTCCTAAGCCACGTCAATTTTCATTCAGCATGCCCGAAAGCCCCATGATAAGCACACATGCTCCCAGTCGAAGCGAATCACTTGCCGCGCCACCCTTGCCATATTAATATTAATACCACCGGTGCCGCCGTCTGCAGGCCTCATTCTCTCACCTCTTGTTTATTTCTTTATCATTTTTACTTACTTTCTTGGAAGTTTCTCTCTTCCTCTTAATTCCTGCAGCCCGGTTCGGAGAGATATCTGGCTGGTACTCCTCTTTCTTGACGATGAAGTCTTGTGCTTACTTTGCTCGGCAATAACATACAACATACACTTTTCGTTTGCTTCGCCCACCTGGAGCCCTTGTTCCTGTCATTCGTCTCTCGTCGTCCTCGTCCATCATTTGTCGTCCTTGTTCCGAGGCGCTGCTACCTCATCTCTCAATCCCGTCCTTGTCTCGACACGTTCCCGTGCCCAGTGCCGATCTTCATCTCCCGTATTTCAGTCGTGCGGTGCCCCCTAGAGTTGCACAACCACAGACTCGTCCTCGTGCCTCAGAGCCATCCAGTACAATATTATTGTGTGTGAATATCATTGCTCCGCCCTGAGCCACACGAGCATGGTGTTCCGTTTGATTCTTGATCATTCCACAAATATGTATCAAATCCTGCAACTTTTTTCCGCAGACTTTCGAAATTGACCCCGCCCCAACTTCCATTACACCACCCCGCAGCTTTTTCGAGACTCCTTGACGCGACTTTCAATATTGTCACTAACTCAATATTTATGACCCGAAATCCCTACAGTTGACACATCTTCGTCAATTAAATGCAGGATACGGGCCATCTTACACGGGCGTTACTCAGGCTTGCGCTATTCTTACGTCGACGGCCTCTTTGTTCTGCTCAAGTGCGGGTACAGAAATCCCGAAAGCCGCGGCCCCAGACAAGAAGAGGTTTCGAGGGGCGGAAAAGCAGATTTCCCAATTTAGAAGGAGCCTGAGTCAGCCTGAGACTGAGATCCGTGGGAAGGTTGCGGTACAGAGTTTCAAATTACAGGAGGGGCCCAAACCACCCTAGATCGTCAACCACCACCTCCGACAATGTCTTCTACCCTCAGCGATCCCCTGCTCCGTAAGTTTCCTGCGCGTAATGCTTTCTCTGTGCCTCACGATGCGTTTCAGCACTTATCGCCTGCGGGCTTTCACCTGCCTACGCTCAGCAAGTTGTTTCTTGTGCAGACGCCAACTATAGCGCCATTTTATCTGAACCCGACTACTACATGGAAGAGTACTGGGGTGATAGTCTCAGCGAAGAATACAACTACCCTAGTGACGGTATGCATTTGAGTTGGGTCTTGGTGTGTTTTATTAATGCGTTATTCAGCGTCCGCCCTCCGTGCCGCACTGGTTGAACTGGGTTTTCAGCCCGCCTTGATAGACAAGGACTATATGCCGTATATTAAGTCTCTAAGCCCCGCCTCTCTCTCCCATCGTAATTCGCCAAACTACGGGAAGATGATTCTGGAAGGTCGTTTCAGGCGGTTGAAGAGCGGGCAGTTGGAGTTGTGATCCTGGATCCTGGTCGTACTGTATTAGTCCTTGCAAGTCCCGTATCGCCACCAAATGCCCTGTATCAAACATGCATTTTTTGTGCGAATGCAGACAAATCATCGGAGCGACCCTCACCCCAGGACTTCCCGTTGGCGCGAATGGTCCGACCCCCTCTTCGTGCACGCAACTTTCTGTCCCCTTCCCTCTTCCTCCACTCTTACATAGGCCGTCATCATTCTCGGTGGAGGAGTTGGTGTAATCGTCGCACGCACCTTTCCTTGCGCAGGATTTACCGACCTGCATGTGGTTGACTACCTAGATTTTGGAGTAAGATGACCCGTTTGAGGAGATATCACTGCTTTCTATCGCAAGGCAAGCGCCTTTCCGTATTGCCGCTCAGTTCCACTGACCTCCTTTTACTAAAATTTAGAATGGGTTCCGCCGCGTTGGGTGAACGTCCTTCCTTGCCTACTCCTCCGACCCATTCCACCCTTCGCGCAGACTGGACGCCGCCTCTGACCCCGAAACGCCCTCCACAGAATTCGACTCCGCCAACCCCACCGCCCCAGCGCTCAGTTCCGATGAAGCGAAGGCGCTGTACCCCCTCCACTGCGCGATCGGAACCACCAAGGATCCCTCTATCACCCAGCTTATCCGAGTCGCGTACAATATCGATGCGGGCAGTATCAGGAAGCGCGACGATAGTGGGCTGACGCCCGTGCATGTAGCCGCTGCGAGTTGGAACGTGCATGCTCTCCGTGTGTTATTGGCGCTCGACCCGAGTGGGATAGCCGAGGATTTGAAGGACGCGGGGAATAGGGACGCGATGACGCCGCTTGAGGCGCTGAGGTTTGTCATGCGTGCGACAAGGGAGTCCAGCGAGACGCTGTTGGGTGCGTGGGACGGCCATTCAGACAGGGAGCTGCTCTGCGAGTATCTCGTGAAGAAGGCTATGGGGTTGCCGCTTGGGCTGGGGGAAGAGACCGAAGAGGAGTATCTCAAGAAGAGGAAGTTTGGGTGTACATGTGGGGCATGCACGGGTGGGTGGCTGTCACGCAGGATGAAGTTCCGTCTGTCTGGTGAGTTTTCCATGGGCGTCGAGCGGCGGGTTGGGGGGTTGGAGCTGACGTTCTCCGTTTGCTTTTTTCTGTCCCCATTTTATTTTGCAACTAGCTCAAGCGGATATTCAATATGACATGCTCCATATGGACATCTACCTCTTCAAATCCAACCTCCCCGTCACTGCTGTCGAGCTCCTCCACGTCGCGCTGGACTACATCCCACCCACCGTCCGGCGGCAAATCCACAAGACCTTCTACATCGGGTTTTACACGATCTTCCGTGCCATTTCCCTCATGCTCAGCCGACCGCAGGGATAAGCCAATATACCGACCCCTCAGGTAGTCCTCGCAGAGGCGCTCGCGCTCGACGCCAGAGCCGTACAGTTTTATATGGGCAAGGGGGGGAGGGTGGAGTACGCCCTCGATGTGACGATGGATATTGCAAAGAAGGAGTCGGTGCTTGGGGATGGGTCATTCAAGGAGACGTTTGATAGGAATGAAGCTGAAGGGGAGGAAGGCGAGGAAAGGTATGTAGGATTGGTAAAATGTGCGAATGATTTGGAGTTTGGGATCGTCAGGAGGAATATCGGGCTTGGGGAGCTTGTTTGTGGGCCTTATATGGATAGCGACGAGGATGAGGACGGGATGGATGTTGATGATTGGGATTGAGATGCTCGGTAATGCTGGCTTTTCTGCACTTGGACCCTTGTACCATTATGTTGATCGTTTCTGTGATACTCAAGTGCAGTTTTTGACCCTAAAGATGTACTACTATTAATGCATGGCTCTAACACGACACGACACTTGTGTTTAAATTCAACATCCCATTTCAATTCATCCATCCGAATACACATCACCAGTGAGCCGCATCACATTGTGAATTTCGCACTGCCTATTCATCATGTGCTTACCGTCTATCTGTCTGATCAGGTCTGCGGACAGTTTCAGGAATAATCTCAGTGCATATCTGTCAATACCCACCAGCGCCTGGGGCCTGCCCCAGTGCAGCGGGGCCCTTGTAGTAGAATATGGCCGCGTCCGTCTGGAAGCCGATGGTGTCACCTCCTGTGGAGACGTCAAGTCCAACACAGCTGTGGTTGCCGAGCGGTGTGGTCTTAAGCGCCAAGGCGGCCCGGTCTGCCTATTTTTAGACGCCCGCTTCACCTTCATCCACACCGACGTCAGGGAATTTCGTTGAATCCTATGGAGTGCATAGGTTTGAATATCATAATTCTCAATAAATCTATGGAAGTTTGAATACTTTAATACATACGCCAGACAATGTAGGTCTGTCCTCGAAATTGTAGAGAAAGTCCAACTTCGATGGGGTTATAGCCTGAGGGAGTGGATGTCGGGGCGCTCCCTCTGGTCCAAATGTAGGACAGCAGAGTAACTAGACTGTATGCTATGAGTACGATATCTGAAGTCGTAATCAGACGGCACAGGAGATAAGGGACGTAGTGAGCGAAGTTGACAGTTCAAAACACTGTGCTATTTACTGAGATGGTGGTACATTCGAGCCTCATATATATGGGTTTTTGTGGGTTAATGGCAGGTCAAGTATAAGGCTTGGAATCAAGTCAAAATGTAAGAAAACTAGGTGTTTACTGCGGCAATTGAGAATGATGCAAGTCAAGATAAATGAGAAGGAGAGGTCACGAGAAATGGGAAAGTGAAGCAGCCCAAAAGAGGAACGTACGAGCGTCTACACGAGCGGTTAATGTGGATATGGAAATGAGGGAACGAAGTTCCATGGTCGTTACTTTCGTATCATTGCAAGTATATCCTCCGGGTTCGGCGAACCGACTGCAAACGCCCGGGCCTTCGCGATCTCAGCGGCGCTGGGCTTGTTGCGAGTAAACGTGTCATTTCCTACTCTGGTTGAGGTCCAGACGGAGCTCGGAGCGGTGCTCGAAGTCAGCAGCCACTGGGTGAGGATCCTTTCATTATCACCGTCGAAGTATTGGCCGCTCCAGGTCGAGGTAGAATGCGCGTTGAGCTGGCTGTTACGGAATGTCACCACCCAGCCAACGGAGATGCCCTCGTCCGTTGGCGGATCCGCATCAAACCTCCCGGTGAGGATATAGAAATCCTGAGCCTCCCCAACGGCAGAATTGTATTCCCCGCTGAGACCGCCGCTCGCGTCTGCGATCAGGGTCATCTTCGAGCTGAGTTGGTTGTACCAGTCGCCGGAGAGCTGTTGGGTCATGGTCTAGCGTTGCAAGATATTTAGTCGTGAGGCTAAGGGGTTTCTGGAAGGAGACTTACTGTTCGCTTTGGAGTTGAACGTTGAGTCGGTGGGTGTAGCTCGCTCTGGTGGCATCTGAAGAGCACTGGGGGCCTTTTATATAGGGTATTGTGGCTATGATGAGCGGAGGGACCATCATAGGAAGGATCCTAAAGAATGCTCCTGACGTTGGTGGCCATGTAAGCTCAGGCCCCATTACCTTCCTTCCTTCATTCCTTCCTTCATTCCTTCATTCCTATCTGACAAGAATCAAGTATCGTAATGCATGCCCGTGTTGCATAGCTAGTCCTAAATCCTTAGCTTCCCAGCAGTGGCTGACATTTCTATCACGTTCCTGTCGAGAACTGTTCGTGTTCTCGACAATGTGTAAAGGCCAATCAACACGTGTAAGGCCTCGAAGTCTGATCTGCATTGCGAACTAGTCTGGTGGCAACCGAATATAGTGAACGTTCAATCTCAAACGCGCACGAGTGCATCGGACTAATAATGATGTTGGCAATGTGAACGAGGAGGCCAGGCTACTTACGAAGGTCAGGCTTTACGATGAGAACGAGTCGACGTAAGCGACGTCCTCAATGTTCCTCTCGAGGGACTTTTAATACTAATCTTGATGCCTTTCGTCATACTGGGAGATCCCGTCCGAGGTACTAGGAGCTTTGTTGGAATCAGGGAGAAGTCGAAGCATGGGTGCCTCAAGGATACTACAGGGTTTAGCTACGGTGGGAAGTCAGGAGGGCTACTTAGCCAATGGGCCGACTGCACTGGTCACCCGGACGTGTTCGACAAGTCGGGTGACCAGTTTGACGAGATGGCCGTCCTTGCTGGTACGTAACTTTTCCCTCCGGCTCGCCCATCCTCTGCCTTCCCTCCTCTGCGGAATCTTCCTTCTCCACCCCACTGATCCATACCTCAGCGTTCTAGTCTACTTCTCCGTCCAGCTGTCTCACGCCACTGTTCCATTTTTCGACAAGACGATCGTCCTAGCTGCTCGTGGGTGCAACAATTGCACCTGTGACCCTGACCAAAGGGGGCAGGACGTACGAGATGTGCGTTGACTGGATCTAGAGGGGGTTGGGGACGCTCATCCGAGCTCAGGAGGTCCTCTCACTGTCTCAGGTACATGCGTCGTTCCCTTCGCTCCCTTGGCCCATCCCACCCTTGCCCCCGTCACTTGCCCCTCTCCATTCTCCTCTATTCCCCTCCCAGCCTCTCCCTTTCCCCCCTACTCCCTTTCCCCTCTCTTCTCCTTTCCTCTATTCCTCCGACCCGACTCCAAGCTCAGGCAACCAAAGTGCTCATATCCACCAGGTTCTGTACAACAATGCTACTACTCACATCGTCTCCCGCTCCCACTTTGGTCAAACGTGAAGATAATGGAGTGTATACACTAGCTATAGCCGATGGCACGGTCAGGACTCAGCAGGTTTGGCGTGGGGTGGCTCCGTGGGCGGGAGCTTCGAAGCGAGCCTTAGCTGCCTGGTTCTGGTTCTGGTTCATTCTCCTCCCGGCCTTGGTCCCCTTCCAGTGAAACTTGATGATCGGTTCCGACTTACAGCTTGAACCTGAGTAGGGTTGACGCTCGTGGATTGGAGCAGGAAACGATCAACGGCGTCATGGATCTGATGGCGACGTATAGACACAAGTAGACGAAGGTATTCCTATAGTTCCGGCATGAGGAGAAGGTCTGGTCCAATACGCAGGCTTGAGTGAGTTGCGTTCGATGACAACCTTCCTTGCCCGGACCTGTTTGTGGTTTCGAACAACCTTTCGTTCCTCGTGAATGGGGTTAGTCGATAAGCGCCCGTCGCCTGTGGTTTGGCTTGGCATGCGCGGACGAACAGTGCTCGGACCTCCCATGCTGGATGCAGATTTGAGGCAGGCGATGGAGGATGGGTGAGAGCTCGCGACCGTGCGCCGCCTCCAGATCTACGGCCGCATGTGGTTCAAGCGCAACGGCGACTTCCTTGAGGTGATGGACGAGGACAGCCAGGAGCTGCATGAGTTCTCGGTGACACTGTTTGATAAGGACAGTAATGTGCGTCCGTGGCTTGTTGATGGATGGATTGGCGGCTATGGAATGGCACGGGTAGACCCACGGGTTGCTCTGGGGTACGGGTACGGGTACAGGTTGGGATTTTTGACCCCCAGGTGCGACGGGTTTTGCCGAACTTTCGGTCGAGTTTCAAACTCAGCTGATGGCCACCACCTTTGTCCGAGTTCCAGGATTCCTTCCACCTGAGAATAATCGTTTTCTGGAATAATCCCTGCGCATGCCCACTTTCGCTATCACTCACTGTCGCACCTGCCTCGTTCGCCTCTATCTCTTCAACTAAAGTGCAATACTTCAATAGAGGATACACAGGTCCTCCCTGGCTGGGGTAGTAAGTATCTGGGTAACGTTTGCCTGAGGTACGATGTTTCCTATAGACCAAGTCTTTCTTTGTATAGGCTTCCTCACTGGGTTGACTGAACCTTAGATTGCCAGCCAATAAAATCCTAGCACCAGAAACTCAGTCATTTGGGAATCGAAACAGCTGACCCTCAATTAGTTATCTAGCCAATATCACGAGAAGCTAGCTGACGACGGCAGACACGCGACTCGTGGGCATGGAGACGGAGACGGAGACGGAGAGGGGAGAGGCGGAGTGAGGAGGGATACGAGGGAGGTACACATGGGAAGGATAAGGGACATGAAATCGACCACTTTCCTTTGTTTTTGGCCGGAACCATCTTGAATCGGGTCACGGTCATTTTTCTGTAAATTGTCGGTTCACAAGTGTGTGAGTGCAATGAGAGATTCCTAACCAATTTTTTTTTGCATTACATAAAATGGCTATTTCCCCCTGATTTCGAGCTGTGGCACTCAAGATTCAAAGACATAATCGAACAGATGTGTTCTGCAATCCTGCTCCGATGTTTCTACTAAATAACATCTGTG